TTACTTTCCTCACTTTTGTTTCTCTTCTCATGCGCTGAGCTGAGCTGCCAATCAGAGTGATTTCATTCACCGATGGGCTGCGGCGTGGCCGACACCCATTCAACATTCTGGATCGGCAGAAAGTGCTGACTAGCACCGACAAGGGCCAACAGTGCGTGACACAGCGCAGAGACAAGGGCCACAGGCGCTCACCAATGGCCCAACCTTGACTGACGGCTGACAGTCAACTTGGTGTGTCAGGGCCGTGTCAAACCTCAAAAGAAGAAAAACAGCAGATAACAGAGAGCACATGGACAATGGAAAAAGAGAGTTTTAAACAACTAAAGCTCTGTGCTCTTGGAAGAGTTTAGATAACAGCCCTCTGTGCAGAGCGTGTTTAGAAGCCTCCCAGAGACGATGAAGAGAGCTTGGCCTATGCAGTGACAGTATGTCATCATTTATTCACTGAATCTTTTTCAATTGCACTCCCTCGCATTGCATTTTATTGATACACATACTCTTCCACCTTCATCAAGCATATATCCCAGTTCAGACCAAAGATTCGCGACAAGACAAAACCATTGCAGAGAAAAGATGCAGCGGTGTGAACTGGCCAGTGTGAGCTTGACTCAAGCTGGCTGATGGTGTCACCAGCAACTCAGCCAGTCAAATAGTTGGTGGCTGGTTTTAAATGTAAAGCTCTTCACCTGCTTTAACAGCCAATCGGCTTGTAGTGTAGTGTTGTCACGATACCAAAATCTTTTTTTTTCGGTACCAATATCAATATGAATTTCGATACTTTGATACTCTTCGGTACTTTTCCTAAGGAAAAGTCCTTTTGGATACAAACCTAGAACAATAAATAGTAGGGGTGTAACGGTACCAAAAAATCATGGTTCAGTAAGTACCTCAGTACGGACGTCACGGTTTGGTAACTCAAATGTTCCACCAAGTTGGTGTTGTCTCGTGTTGTCTCCCTTTGCGAGGCAGACTTTCTCTTGTCTTTTTTCATATGCGCCAGCTGCGAATGTTGATACAGGTGTTGTCATACACACCACTTGTGCAATCTGTGCTCCAATAGGAACAAGAAAGGTGTTTGCGTGCATAAATGAGTAAGATAAATTAACTAAATTAATGAACTGAATCAATTTCAAAGTACCAGTATTTTCCAAATGCAGTATAGTACCGTTTGGAATACTCTAGTACCGCGGTACTATTTTAGTACCGGTATACCGTGCAACACTATTGTAGTGTAGTCTGTTGGTCAAGTCAAAATGTGCCAGTGTCAGGCGGTGGGTTGCTGCTGCAGCAACACAGGATTTTAACAGGATTTTAACTTATGCAAAGTTTATTTTAGTCCACAGTGATAGTGTTGCCGTTTTCACACTGCTGCTCGCTGTATGTGCTTATGCCCCCTCACACACACATTCTCATTGATTGATAAATTGGCACTGGTTATCCATATTATTGTGGCATATTTATTATGAATACAGTCCATCTGATGCTTGTTTTGTTTCTGTTTTTTACCATTCCATCACTACAAATGCAACTGTAGCCAGTATCTCACTATCACTATCCGCATTCATATTTTAAGAAACTACAAATTATATTATCTTGAAATATTGGTTACAGAGAAGACACAAACTTGGATCAAGGATCAGAGTCATAAGATTTTAGTGAAACCTTTTATCTTTCTTTGATTTTTTCTATTAATAAACTATAAAGGCTATATATACAGCCTATTTAATATGTATCTGCTTCAGTCATATCACACTGAACTAGAGCTGCTGTGAGCCATTAAAAGTCAGGAAAAATAAGCAGGAGGCAACTGTGGGAAACACAAAGTTGTGTAAAAAATAAAAGCAGCAACACATGATTTTAACAGGATTTTAACCTATGCAAAGTTTATTTTAGTCCGCAGTGACAGTGTTGCTGTTTTCACACTATGATTCCATCACTGAAGCTCAAAATAACACGAGACAACTGCATGATGAGAACTAGGAAAAAAAGATAATAATTAAAATAAATAAATAAATAAATAAATAAATAATAATGATAAATAAATAAATTAAATTGGCTCTCCCATACTATAAATGCAACATTTGGGTCAGATAAGCCTCATCAGTGGGTTAACTAGGCTACTTTTCCACTCTTTACTTCAGTAGCAGAAACAGTCTGACATTGCTTTAAAGTGTTGTATGTGACATATTCAGAGTAGTATCATCATCCAACTCAATAGCAAAAAAATCACTATACTACTGTCTCATATAGCCTTGTGATACACCTAATTTAAGACTCTGTTGACGGGTTATGACTTTTTGGATTGTATTTTAAAAATATCTATATTTCTGTTATGAGTATCATTTACACTGAAGCACAAGTTTTGATGGATTGCTGAAGAGTAAAGACATAATAATGTAATGGATGAATGGATCAATTGTTTTCATTCCCCATCTTAATAACTTCTTAACTGTTGTCTGGATGACAGAAGTCCTTGTGATTTTCATTTTTGGTGACAAATGTGGTTTTATGATCACACTGGCTGTCAAGTCTCTTGTAAGCCTTTATTAAAGGAATACTTCACTTCACCCACAAAATGACCATTTGCATATCAGTTACTCAACCTGTGTTATGTTGAATTTGTGAAGAAAACTGTTTTTCTTGCCGGCCACAGTGAATGAAGAATCCAAAAAGGTGAACATTCTTCATGAATTAAAGTACACTGTGTCAAAACAGCAAAACTGTATCAAAATGTCAGTTTACAAACTCTGACACAACTCGTGCAGTATAATCCAAATCTCATTTATCCAGTCGTATGCTCAGGACTTTCATGACACATGCATTATGGTTAATACATTATGATTTAAAACACATCAGTTCAAACAATCTCACTTGCACGCGTGGGCATGTGCATGTGTTTGAACTCTGCTCAAGTGAAACTAAAGCCCAACTCAGACCAAATTTGCGACAGGATGAGTTGAAACAGGCAACTACTTGCAATGTGCCATTCTGCAGCGCTCTAAAAACTTGCCAGTTCACACTAATGCAACTAGATGTGATGGTGTATCATCTCTATGCAACAGCTCTCTGTAATTTGTAGGTTCTTGAGAGTGAGATACTGGCTACAGTTGCATTTGTAGTGATGAAACAGCAAAAAACAGAAACAAAATGAGCAATGCCACAATAATATAAATAACAGCGCCAATTAATCAGTCAGTGAGAATGTGTGTGAGGGGGGTATAAGCACATACAGCAAGCAGCAGCAACCCACTGTCCAACACCGGCACACTGTGAGGATGGATACAGAGGGCTCAGCAGAGACGGAGCACCTGCAGCATGACTACCGACAATTTGACCAGCTGAGTTACAGGTGACACCATCAGCTGGCTTGAGTTGAGCTCTACTACTGCAACTTTTCTCTGCAACGTCCTCCAACGGTTTTGTCTCATCACAAATCTTTGGTCTGAACTGGGCCTAAAACACACGTGCATACTCAGGCACAACCAGGTTGTGCTTCTCATGGGTGGAACTGTCTTTGTTTTGATATAGTTTTGCTGTCATTAAAGGCAGTCTGCGTAAACTTCAATTCATTAAGAGCGTTTCCCTCTTTTGGATTCTTCGTTCACTGTGGAGGCATGTGAGAAGAAACAACGTTTTCCTCACAGACTGACATACAAATGGTAATTTTGTGGTTGAAGTATTCTTTGAAGCAGGGTTCGCCAATGTCAAAATAAAGTACATTCACATGAAAGGAGGAAATATTTTCGCCTTAACATCTACAGACCACTGAATGTTGCTATGTTGTTCAGAGCGTCGCTGATTCACCTGGCATAAGGGTTTTTAAGATAATCATTTGTTTGTTTTGGATTTTGAGGTTTATAGCATTTACAGCGGTGATAGAGGGAAAGTTGTTCTCCTCAGGTGATGGAGGTTGTACCTTGTGAAGAAGTGAACAAAATGTAACACACCTTCAATCAAAACATGTTTCCATAGGCTTTGGCCTAATCTTCCAGTGCTACACCAGCATATCAAAGTCAGCCAAGCATAGAAAGGTTTGAGTAATATTTGAATCTATTGAGAGGAGCTTCAGTACGACACAGTCTCTGCCACTGAACAAGCTTCCCCCTCTGGACTTGCAGCCTTTAGCATATCAATGCAGACTGTCCTGACCAATCATCAACCAGCTGCTGCTATATCTGGCCCAATCACAATGGATTCTCCAATGTTTGCTCCACTCTGTACACCTGCTAGTTTGTATGAGAAGACACTTGACTATTTGAAACCTGTGTGTTCACACACAGCTGTAGCTCATCCTACACAGACGCAAGCTTTTGGGGTTTTGCATTGTTGTCCCTGTATGTTCCCTCATCATTACTTTTTAGAGATTATCTTATAATTTTGGATCCAAAATGCTCTGAACTCTCATGAGCAACAGCTATATCACTATATTTAGAAAAATTAAAACAACACAAATTAATGTGAACAATACAAACTTGTGTAGTAATGGCGTAGAATTAGGACAGCAAATAATTATAAACTCTATCATCAATTATATTCTCAGTTTTCTATTTTAAGCTATTGATTTAACGTTTAGTCGATAAAACATCAGAAAATAATGAGACATGCCGGTCACAAATGTCCAACCAACAACCCGAAACCCAAAGACACTCAGGGAAATGTGACATAAAACATAGAAAAGGTGAATGGTTGGAGAAGCTGGAACATTTTAACCTGAGAAATGTATTATCTCAGTACTGTGAAGAATGCTATCTCAAATTTATATTTGTCTAGCAGCTCTTCAATCTATCAATTCACACTGACTATAAGCCTGCAAACACAGCACAAACACAGCCACCGCTTCATTGTTGTGCTTAGTTTATGGGCCTGATTTTGGTTAGACAACGAGGAGAAAACCCCAAAAAGAACCAGTAGCTGACAACACAATACTCTGGTGTGACATCAGTGAGCAGCGTGCTGGAGCATTGATTTCAAGCCTCAGACAAAAACCAACGGGCACAATATGGTTTCTCAATTTTTGTTCTTTTATTTATTTAAAAAAGATGGTCAATTATTTGTCCAAAAAAAAGATTCTGTTAAAGGCCTCTTTTTTTGTTCAAAGCTGGTCCCACTGTCGTCCACTGACAATCTAAATGCTATAACTCCTCGTTTGCGTGACTGCTGTCGCTACAGTATTCTGAAATCAAAACACAAGGACAAAAATATTAGTGTTGACGTTATTGACTTGTCTACATTAATACATAGATACATGAAAATTTTTACTATGTTGCAAGGTTGTGTTCCGTTAGATTTAATCTGCTGTTTAATCGTGGTGATTTTTGAAACGGGACAGTTGTGATTGTGATTTTGTGATCAATGTTAAGCCTGACCCTGAAGCAGTTTGTGTGCCACAGAGATGTCTCAGTATAATTATGTTTTTCCTTGAAATAAATCTTGATAAAAACAGAGGCACTTCCGCACTGGCAGCGGCTTTCTGCTGATTCAGATTCTAACAAAATGGCTTCTCTCTCATCTCTGCTGTTACATAAGGCCGTGGAAGCCAAACCCAACAGGGAAAAATAAGCGATATAAGACGATTAAATTAACCACAAAGCACATTGCACAAAGCCATCATTGTGTGCCACAGCAAAGGGAAATGCATTTAACTACTGAAATGCAGAAACAAGTCAGATTTGAACTGATAATTCTACAACAAAGCATGTGAGGTAATTTACCAATATATTCCATATTACTCGAATGTATTGAATTAATTTATTCAGCTAAATTCTCTGTGAATTTCTCCAGCTTTATGCTAAAAAAACCCTCAGATTCCACCTGATGTGAAGAGTGATACAGATATCCTGAGTGAGGGGAGGGGGGAGGATGAACGTAAACCAAGCTGCTGCATCATGTCTGTGGCAGAGAATGTGTGAAGAAGCTTTGGTACCTGAGACTCTGTTGCATAACTCCTCATGCACATGCTCTGCGTCCTGGCTGAACAAAGAGATGATATCATCCTCCAGCTCCTCCACCAGTGTTTCACACTGAGAAAGAAAACACAAACGCAGAAGAAAGACTTGGCCTCGGGGAAACAGAGCTGCATACACAACACACACACACACACACACACACACACACACACACACACACCGGATCTTTTTGCACAATGGTGGCCATGCCGTTTGTAGGGCGGTGGCCATGTTTCCCCTCTGTTTGCCAAACTGTTCAGCCATTTTGACAACTCGATGGTCATGCTGCTGACTCCTCAGATTCACTGAGAGCTTAAATTCCCTTCAACCTGATACTAGTTCTAACTCCATTTTTGTTTCATTGATTTCAGTAGATAGTTCTCAAAAGAATTTCGATTTTTTTCTTAAGAAGGACCTGCTCAAAAAAGCAGCAATGTGACCAGCTATGTGTAAAAGCAAAAATGACCTGTGATGTGTATTTTAACTCCAGTGTATTAAATGCATTGAGCAGCAGGGTCACGTTCAAGCTGAAGAAAACCTCAATGCTCCTATTTTGAATCCAGCTCAGGAGCGTTCTTGACTTTTTAAATTAGCTATAGGCTTTGAACATTGCAATTTTCAGGTCTGTCTGCAATAAGCAGATCTACAGGGTGTATAGTATGGCAAACAAAATATGGACATGAAGCTTGAGCATCCCTGTTACCCTAATTAAGATGATTAAGGACCGATTTCAAAACAAAAAGATAAATTAAAGCCATTTTAGGTGTTCTCTGTTCTTTTCTCCTTCACTTTGTTATTCTTGCATGGCGATCAAATTCACTGCAATGTCCTAATCCAAACATTATTTTTATTTAGCTTTTTTAATTATTATTCTATCAATTTAAAGAGGGAAATTATATTAAAGTAGGAAACTTCTTTTGCAGGAGAGATACGGCCATACAGATAGCAAGTATATTACACTAGAAATGATTAAATTGATCATGTTGATCATGTACTGTACAGAACAAATATAAGATAAATGAAATTGCTCTCTGGTCTTAATATGACCTATGAACTTGATATGATCAGCAATATCTGAATGAAACAGCACAAAACACAAGCTGTACTCAAGTTCTGGATGTGAAAATCTGTGGACTAGTTATTGTAACACTTGAACACAGCAGTAGCCCTATGCATGTTATACTGCGACTGAAAACATAATCCACATTTTTGTGCCATTCACAAAAAACACTGCTAGTGCTTTAGTCACATGACACAACATGGCATAATGTGGCAAAGCTAGCATCTGCACCAACCTACGTGGTTACTGTAGGTAGATATTGACACATCACTAAATTCAAACAGGCTACATCACACAAACTAGTAATTCTAGAGAGACAGGCACTAAATATGACTATTTGCAGGTGGAACTGTTGACTGCACCAACTGACACAGTGGGCTAGTCTGAAGTCTGAACAGTCTGAAAATGACATATCCTGTACATATGTGTATGTATATGTGTAT